GCGCTCAAGTGCACAGTCGCTCCCCGGAGGCACATTCTGAGCGAGGAAAAACCCTGACGTGGTACAATAATTATTTCAATTTCATTGTAGTAAAGCTTCAGCTCACTCTGAGATAATAACCCAGCTGGGTGGATGCTAATAAAGAACAAAAAAAATATTTTTTCAGCAATCGAGAGGAGGATCAATTAAAAAAAACTTAACAAAACACAACTGCAAGCTAAATCAAATGCGCTGCTTGTATCAATAAGATCTAATCAATGTCAGTCAGTGTTCCAGTAGCCCGAAAGTGAAACAGACATTGAATCAGCCCGTCAGTCCACTAGTTACCAGTCAGTCAGGAAGCAAGCCAGTTAAAGCTGCAGCTCACCAGTCAGCCGTTAAGCCAGAGGTGGATTACAAATAAGGGAAAGATTGGCAGCTAAATGAGTCTCTGGACTCGATCCAAGCCTCGCTCTGATCATTTCTTTTAATGGCAAAGAAAAGAACACAGAACGCAGGATTTGAGGATGAAAAAAGGCCTGTTTTTAATCAGAGAGGAGCCTTAATCTGGGTGGCTGCTGATGGCTGATCAGGAGTAGCTGCTTGGTTAGTTGTTTGACTTTTTGCTTATCCTGCGGGTCGTCTCACTGCAGCTGTATTGTTGTTTCTTGACTTTTTGCCATTTAGAAGGTTGCCTCTGAAATGCTGAATGAAATTAAATGTAAACAACACAAGGACAATGTCTCGGGAGGAGGCGAGAATGTCATCTGTGGGAGGTTACAGCAATCCTCTGTGCTGTTTACCGTACGTAGATGTCATTACAGCCACAAATGTTTGGAAAAAAACAAACTACCCAACACAGCTGGCAAAAAAGAAGAAGAAGAAATGGCAGGGCCAGTGTGTGCATGTGAAAGCAAACGCTGCATATTTGTATGTCTGCAGAACAAACTAACAATTACTTAATTACTGCCAACGCAATGAAGTCATCTCAACTAGTCTGACACACACTCATCAAACGAGTTTAAGTTGCACAGAAACACTTCGGCGTCTCTTGCCTCATTACTGAGTCATACGTACTTTCTGTGGCCGTCTATTGCAATTAGTTTGTCAGTCTGTTCATGGCCACAGGAGAAGCAAGCTCATTTCATACATGCACAGAGATGACTGTACATTTTAAGTTCTGCAACAAACACTTGCCCCTTTACTTGTCTGGAAACTCATTGAAAGGCAAATATTGAACAATTTAATAACTGTAACATCATGATAGATGTGGTTAAATATCTCCAGTATTTTTTTTGCAACCTTTTATTATTACAATTGTGGAAAATTCAACACCTTTCTCTTCCTGGCTCGACCATGCTTTGCTCTTTCTCTTCTAATTGCATATGCTTCTGTCCTCCACACTAGAGTCTTCGCAAATGTGGGATCCAAGGAAGAATTTGTAGCACACACACAGGGAAGCAGCTTAAGGTGAACACACAGCCAAAATGTGTAGATTCTGCACCTTTAAAGAAACGTGCAGAGAGTTTGTGTGGCTGTGAAATATGTGAAATACATAATGACGTAGAAGATAAGTACGCGTGTATATTTCAGTTTGAGTCTAATCATGATCCCCTCTACAAGCTAGGAGTCCCTGACATCTCTGTTAACCGGGAAAATAAACTGGAAATCTCTCCCTTTCGCCCCTTCTTTCCCTCCCCCTGGCTCACTGGGGTGTGGCAGCCAATCAAGGCCTTGTACATTCACAGCAGCAGTCGAGGTCGAACTGGGACAATATTTATTGTTACTGTTGTAGGCCCATACACACACATCCACACACACCGCCACGGCTCTCCTTTTGCACTTCCACTTCCAAATCAAGCACACACACATGCAAAAGTTTGGGGGTTCATATCCACCCTGCAATACTGGCATAGAGCTGTCTGATTGGTCCCAAATTCCATGTGCAGCAAGTAAACAAACGTGAACCATAAAAATAAATAAACAGGAAGAACGAGGGGTTCTTGAGCATTTAACTGAGAAATAAAAACTAACAGCATTACAGCCAAGCACATGCATATGGTTACACACAAACGCACGTAAGACAGCACTGAACCTTACACTGGAGAAATGCACACTGAGAAACACACATCTAAGTCAACAAACAAGGCGACACACACTCACACACAGCTAATACAAATATGCGCACACTCGCAAAGCACTAAAAGGAAATAGACACCTAAAAGAAAAAGCACACGCGCTGCAAAACACACATTAAACAGAAACACACCTCGCACAACCCCCTCTCTCTCTCTCACACACACACACACACACACACACACACACACACACACACACAAAATTGTACACACAGTTCTGATAACGCTTGCCACAAAAATCCAGTGGAACCAATTACAGCTCTGCTCGCCTGGCAAATCAACCCTCAGTTTTTAACCCTTTCCCACCAGAGAACCAGAACAAAGTCTGACTTTTCCAAAAACAATTAAAATGACAACAACAGTAATGATGCAGTTCAAGCCTTGCATCCTCGTTTTATCCATTAATCTGAAGACATCACTTCCAAATAGGCATGGGTCGGAGCATGTCACATTCAAGGCAGCCTGTTGGGAATTAAACCGACATGTCAGACTGAAGAGGAAAAATCACATCATCAATCATGACTTAACCACCACTTTAGATGAAGAAATCAAGTATATTTAAGACATCTTCAGACAAACTTTCAAATAAGTTATACTTCATAACCTAACTTGGTCGTGACATGAAACCATTCAAAGTTACATTATCAGCTCTTGGTAACGCAGGTTTCACACAGATTTCGTAAACTGTTGTGGTGTGATCAAAAACACACACAGCTCGTACTTTACTTTCACATTCCTTACAGTTTGGCTTCTGATTGCATTTACCAGTGACACTCATCAGCTGTTTGATGCAGTCGACTAGTTTTTGAGGAGAACGTTTGATGGGGATCCGTGTAAAAAGACAGCAACACAGAAGTGTTTCTTTACCACAAACAATTAAGGCAATACAGCGATTACTGTCAGAGATGATCTGACTCGTGCAACTTTCAAGCCTCTTTTAAATGAATGGAAACTAATGTTTGACTGAAAAAAGGGAAATCTGCCTCTAAACTAGAAACACACTTTTTAAATGTAAGCTCATTCCTAGAAACCTGCTTGATGTTATTGAAGGGAGTATATATTTATACCTATTACAACCTTTTCCCATTCACATAGGCACAATTAAAGTATCTAAACAACAAACTAGTATGAAAACAGGGAAAAATAATAATATTTAGCATTCCTGCATGTGGAAAAGCTGACGGACTGCTAAAAAGCTAAGAGTACAAATTATAAGTAAGTCTGAACTGAGCACATGTGTATATGCATATGAGCACACTCACACAGTGTCTACAAACACAAGCGCATGAAAACTCAGACAACCACACACATGCGCGCACACACGTAACCGTTCTTTGCACCCTCGCACCTCTCCACAGATCACATTTCACATCAACACCAGAAATAAAGTTCCTCTGGCAGAGGAGGGCCGCAGAGGAAGAAGCGAGAGAGGAGGAGAAAGACGGGAGAGAGACAGAAAGAGCGAGATGGAGACTATTGATCGGTTGGAGTTGGCTCAATCTGGCATTGAACTTTATCAGAAAGGCAGAGCATCGCAGCAGGAAGCTTTCTGATTCGTCTCTAAAGGAGAGAACAGAGGAATGTTTGCGCTCTATTCTTCTTTCGCATCTCTCATTCATTTTCATTTCTCTTTCCACCCCCAGCCGTGCCTTTTTAAAGAATTCTTTCTAGCCTTTTTTGCCCCCCCTCCTCCTTCTTGGCTCTTACATCTTTCACTTTCTCCATTTGTATTTACTCCTCTGTTTCTTCCAGCGTCTTTTTCTCCCTTCTTTTCCCGCTGCTGCCTTATTAGCATTCTCTCTGTACGTATAATTGATTCCTCATGCCTTCCTCTTGTGGAAATGTCATTCATAATTCTGTGTGATAGCTGGCTGGCTGGTTGGATGGCTGGCTGACTGACTGAGTGGTTGGCTTGCTGGCTGACTGTGAGGCAAAGTGGCCACTGACCCATTTGTAGCAGATACAAAGAGACTGACAACCAAATCTGATTATAGCAACCAGACCAGGGCCCTTGTGAAACGAATGGCCTAAGCCAAACTGAGCCTAAGCTGTCATTCATCCTTCTGTGCTTTATAGTCTACGTATTTAACCTTTATTTTACCCCGGCAGGTAAATTAACGGCGAATTCTTACTGGTGGTGGAGGGTGAAACTGAAGGAGGGATTTTAAAGAGGTATTAAGGGGAAGTACTTGTGCACTCACGACCTTTCTTAGTTGTAATGGAAATGAATTAAGTAGAATTTAACTATAAATTAAATGGCCTATGTCTATGTGTGTGCATGTGTGTGTGTGTGTGTGTGTGTGTCTGGGCATCTGTGTGTGTTTGCTTAACAACAGAAATGAGCAAATAGACAGCTGATGGTCTTTCACACACACATGCACACACATTAATGCAGCCAGATCTATTCTCACACACACTCACACACACACTGAAAGGTGCAGATTCAGTTATGTGCCACCTACATTGCCAATTATCAACAAGATCTCAAAGGCACCTGGTTGCAGATGACAGAGGTGTGTGTGTGTGTGTGTGTGTGTGTGTGTGTGTGTGTGTGTGTGTGTGTGTGTGTATAACAGGGAATCTCTTAGCCCAAACATCCCCCTCCCCTCCCATCACGTCTCACTCCTCATGTTACAGTAAAACTAAGGAGGAGGGACAGAAAAAGACAGACAGAAGGACACAGACACATAAACAAGGTGAGAGTTGAGAAGACGAGGGACGTAAGGAAAGACCAGCAGGAAATTAAAAAAAGAAAAAAGAAATCAGAAATCAGAAAGACGCAAGATAAGAGACGTCCTGAAGAAAAAAAAGTGACAATGCAATCGGAGACATAAAAAGGGAGACAGAGACAGACAGGTAAAGAAGACATAAGGAGGTACATACCGGATGCCTGCCCTGAGGGTACATGATCCCAGGAGAGGAGAGGCTGCCAGTCCGTTTGATGGCCAGGTTAGTCCCCTGGCCCTCCACTCCTCTGCCCTCCACCGGTTACACAGCCACACACACGCACACACAAACCCCCGCACACTCTCACCAGTCAATAAGTCCAGTTCCTGCTCCTTGGCAGGGTTGAACGCAGCAGTCTTTACTCTTCTGTTCTTCTTTGCTTTTTCTCGCGCGCTCTCTCCCTATATATGTATATATATATTTATCTTTTACTGCATATTCCTCTTGACGCACAACTGGAGAAGAAGTCTGTCAATTCCTTCATCCGATAATATCATGACAAAACGGAGCAGCGGACTTTACCTCCTCCTCCTCTCTTGTCCTTTCCACAGTGAAAGTCTCAGTTTCTCCTCCTTAGCGTCTCTCAGCCTTCTCCTCACCCTGTGATCAGTCAGGGTCCACACGTAGTGACATGACACAGAGAATTTCATCCAGACAAGCTCGCCTCTTCCACTTCTCCTACTCTTCGCCCCTCTTCTCCTCCTGCCCCTTCACCCAGCCGTCCAATGGCGAAACACACAAACGTAAACAAACATTCAGCTCGATCAAATAGTCTTCTTCTCTGCTTTTTCCTCCTCTTCGCCCTCTCTGTGACACACTGAAGCCTCTGCCTTGACTGCTGCCGCAGAAAAGAAGAAGGAGGATAAGAAGAAGAAGAAGAAGAAGAAGAAGAAAAAGGAGGAGGAGGAGAAGGAGGAGGGGACGGGAGTGAGAGTGTGTGTGAGAGAGAGAGTGAGAGCTTTGTTTTTAATCTAAATGTGGGAAAAAAATGCAAGAGGAAAGCAGGAAAGAACAGCAGGTCAGTGGAGGATCCAGCGGGCTTTTCAGCAGCAAGCCCTAGACTGTAATATATTGTGCCTGTTGGCTTCAACACAAACACGACAGCCTGCTAAAGCTCCTCTTAAGGTGGAACTGAGTAGATAGAGACACCCAGTCGCACACAGAGGGGGAGCAAGAGAGAGAGGCGAGAGATGGATCTCTTTTCAATTGTGGTCAGACACACAAAGCAATCAGTCATGCACAAAGACTCGGGCTCAAACTGATATGAATCGAGATGCAAACACGCGAAACGCTCGACAGCTATGCGGACAAACTCGATGTGCAGCACCAACCACACACAACAATTACAGTGATAAGTTTATTAGGCAGTTTGCACCTCGCATTAAAATGCGGCATGGACGATGCGACAGCAATCCAATCACACCTATTCAGGTGTAAACACACTCAGGCTGCGCTGAAGATTGCTACCGATGTGACTCCTCACACCTCAAAGGCCTGAGAAGCACTGCATCCAGGAGTTCAGACCGCATACATTTGCTCCTACAGCCTCTCTAACACAGAAGAGTGCCACGGAAGTACGCACTGTAACGCTAAAGTTATCACGTTTATGTCTAAAGGCTGTGAGCGTGTTTGCAGTAATGATTAAATATGAAAGCACGGGCTGGGATACAAGGATACAACCCAGTGAGGTGTCTCATATTGCTTTCTGGTTCGCCTGGAAGAAGGGTGGCACTTGATGCGCATAGTTCGAGGCTATTCACAGAGCTTGGCGTACACTTCATAATGATAAAGTTTTCCAGGGCTACCACACTAAAGGTGCAGACAGCAAGAGCCTTATCATGTTCTACGACGGGCCTAAAACTCTAAACACAACACATATGCCCCTTTTTAAAAAATAATCTGCTCAGAACTGTTTTTGGTGGTTCTGAATTCTGATCTATTGTTTCTCCATGGGTTTCTTAAGGTGAACAGAAACTCACAGTATATTATTTTTAAAAAAACACGTTGGCATTAAGATTTAGTTTAAAAAACAGACTATTTTTCAGAACTTACACCTTAACGAGAACACTCAGCTGGAATAAACAACTAGACGTGCCACCTGCAGAGACTTCTGAATTAAAATGGATAATTATGGCCACATTTGTCAAAACTTCAGAGCAGGAACGCTACAGTTACGTCCACTTCCCGCCAAAGACGCCATCTAAATCAACACGTCGAGTAACTGGAGGATTACCAGCGTAACACACCAGAAATATCCAAGCTAGAGCAAGATAAAAATGTCTCCCTGCCTACTTTTGACTCTTGGCTCCAGCGCACCTGTTATTTACAGGACTGCCCAGAATGGACCTGGACCAACTAAGACCTGGTATTTAAAGCCTTTCCACGTACAGTACGACAGTGTGGCCAAGCCGTCTTTTGGCGCAGTTTATAATGAGTTTATCCAGAGCAGCTCTGCCTTTGAACTTGATCAAACAGCCATTAATCCGGCGCTGTAGAATCGGACAGTCGGTCTTGGCATCCGTGGAGGGTTTCCAGTAAGACAGAAACTGCATTGGATAACTAGTGGGTTAGCCAGAGGGTAGCTCCAGAGCTTCAATTAAGGCCACATACAGACATCCTATTATCCAATACAGCCTATTACCACACACTATAGATCCTGGAGTAATCTGCTGTCAGTGCGCTCTGAAATGCATTGTTCTACATTTGTTCAAATGTTTGATTTGTCATTTGACTGAAACTAAGCCAGGCTCTACAGTTACTTTCAGCAGACTATACATTTATGACGGGCAGCTGTGGTGGTGATGAGGCCAGACATTTCTGCTGTTAATTGCAATCTGTTGATTAATGGTGAGAAGCCTGCAAGCTAGTTCAGGCAAGCTGCAATGCATCATGCACACTTACTTCCCTGCCACCTTACGTCATATACCAAACACACCATCCGAATTTGGATATTTATCTGTTTAAGCTGCAAAATTTACCGTCTCTCCCAACAAAACGCCCGTCTGACTTGAGCTCTGCTTCACCGCCGGCTGTTTAAAACCCCTCCATCACCCCCAGCATCCACCTCTGAGCTCCAGGGGGATTGTACTCGTCACTCCCAAATTTAATATAAAGCATATTTGTGGGGAGTGATGAGCCTTGATGTTACACACCAATCTGTTGTTATGATAAATGAATTATTTCAGTTGTTAGCTGTCTTACTGGAATTGATTTCAGATCATTTTGGAAGGTAACTGATTTCTAATCAACAAAAAAGAAAGAAGAAATAGGATCCATTTCATATGTTCTGTCTTTCATTCATCTTAACTCTTCGTGTTTTGTTTCACCAAAAAAAGGGAAATAATTTGATGTCAACTCTTCAAATTTAAAAGTGATAAAATATGTTTCCTACATATTATCCAGCAGTCATTTAAAGGACAGAATAATGGTCGGGGGCAAAAACACAAGGATGCCCCCCAAATACGGGTTAGGGAAAAAAAACATGGGTAGATTAAGTACTGTTGTTATGTTTAGCTAGCTATTCGAAACGCTAGTGCCATTTTATTACTCTAATGAGATTTGTTTTAATTTCTATAGGGTTAAATGGTGTAAATGTCTATTCCCCCGATTGGTTAGCAGTGGTTCCTGGCGGTTGCTGGCTTTAGTTGGAAAAAGTGGTTGCAAAGAATGTGCTGCACTCAAATCCTGCTAGTGATTGCCATGGTTGCCTGTAGTTTTTCATGTTTGTCTGCATATACTCCATAAGTACCATGAAATGTACTATCAATGTATCAAAAAGCCCAACTTTCTCAAGGCAAACAGTCCCCATTTCTGTTGTGCGTTGCTCTTCACAGCTAACAGCTCAGAGAAAAGCTGGACAGTGTTTGCAGACTAGTCTGTGACTAGCATACAAGCAAACAACGAGGTTTTTGCCTATCTGTTCCCCTTCTAGAGCAACAGGTGGATCACTAGAGAAAAATGGGGGGGGTGTAACCGGCCTGTGTGACTGGAGCTTTACCAACCATTTTTCCAGTGACTGCCAGCAACCATTCGCAGCCATACTCCTTTTTCCCCTCACGACCAGTCTCTAGGCCTGTGCGACTGACTGACTCCCGCCATGACTGTCACATGTCCAAAATAGCCGACAAGTTAATGTCTTATGGTTAGTGGTCTCATGTCTGTTATATCGCAATACATATGCCTTTCAAAATAAAAGCCCAGATTTTTAAAAAGCATTTCTACCCACTATAATACTGGATGACTTCTACTCTGAAAGTGACCCCTTTCTGCTTACTATTGCTAACTAACCAATGGGAAATAATACAAAATTTAAGCTGTAACATGAACCAAAGATGTGTGCGGAGTTTGCATGTTTTCCCTCCCACAGCCCAAAGAAATGACTGTTAGCTTGCTTGTCTAAATTGGCCATAAGTGTGAATGTGAGTGTGAACAGTTGTCCGTCTCTCTGCGTTAGCTCAGTGATGAAGTGGCGACTTGTCCAGCGTGTGCCCTGCCTCTTGTCTTTTAAAAGTCTGGATAGGCTCCACACCTTCACAACCCTGAATTGAATAACTGGTTAAGAAAATGGATGAATGGACAGAGAAGTTGCAGAAGCTCTTATATTTTCAGCGTTTAAAATTGTCCTTACTCTCTCAGTTCATTCTCCATAAATTTACACTTGAAGCATCGAGCAGAGTTTGAGACATAATGGAAATCATGAGTGCAATCAAGCAACAGCAGCCCAAAGGTTAAGAAAGAAGCGCATCACCTTCTTCATCAAATCTACGCATCCGGATTATTCACATCCAAACAATTAATCCGAGCAGGACTAGAGGTGGACAGGTCACCTGAGGAAACTTCTGAGAGAGGGAAGCAGAAAACAAAACAAAAAAACTTTTAAGCCTGCTTAAGCTATCATTTAGTGAGGAAACACATTTTTCCCTCTGATTTCCCTCTCTCCTCTTTCCAAATAGCTTTTTTCTTAGCGTTCTCTTTCACACAGACACACACATACTGTCATTCAGTGATGCCCACCACTATTCCCCATGTAGCCCATTGTACTAATCAGCATTATCTAATTTTCTAGAATGGATTATGCAGGTAATTACTCCCCCGACTCCTCACATTGGGTTTAAGAGAGACAGATAGGTAAGCATGCAAACACACAGACAGATGCAGACATCAGTACAGATCGGTTCAAAGCATTTATAGTGCCGACCTGATTTTAACGCAACGCTATATGGGCTAAACTGGTTTATGAGGGTGCACTAGCCCAAAAGGACCAAGTCACATCACAGTACCAAGTCCAGCAGGTCCATCAGTGACATTCATAGAGGCATAATCTGTTAGTGTACAACAACTGATATTATCTGGGATACACAGAGAGCCTACTCATCTCATGTTAGAGCCTTAACTGAATGTCTTCTAACACAGAAAATCACAAGAAAGAAATATTTTTGCCAATTTGAAATGCTGGACTGGTGAAACCCTGGACAACCCACAGTTTCTCTATGGATATCAAACGCATGCGTAGGAGTGTGTTCTGACTGACCTTTGCCTTTGAGTCAGCGCCTTCAGACTGATGCAAAAAGTCACATGATGAGATACAACAATGACACTATGATCTCAGCTTCCAAAGCCCTAAATAGCAGCAACAGATGATTTATACACTGTTTATATGTGTGGTAATCATTTCTAGCAGAGCGAGATCAGGCTCATGTTTATCATGGGATAAACATGGTCCCCTCATGGTCTATAATGGAAAGTAACCAGTACTACAACCTAACACTACACAATGAGACAAAAACCTGTCATGGAGTTAGCAACCAAAACTTAGTGCAGCCAACTTAACTATGGTACCTAATGACAGTTAAAATATCGACAAATTAGCAGTGGCGGCATTTTCACA